TGCGATGTTTTATTCCGTGTATGTAGACGATGTGCAGATGAGTTTCAAATCATGTAATTTATCTATCTGTGAACGACAAGTGCAGCTTGGAATGAATAAATTTTCTAAATGGGGGGATGAGAATGGTTTTAAAATAAACACCCAGAAAAGTACTTGCGTACTCTACTCCAACAAGAGGGGTAATTCCACTACCAAATATTGCAATGAAGGGAGACCAACTCTCTGTGAGCAGCGAGCATAAATTCCTGGGAACCACTTTAGATTCTAAGCTCACGTTTATTCCCCATATTAAACACGTAAAAATGAAATGTCTGAAAGCGATGAACCTTCTAAAGTTCCTACTACGTACAACATGGGGTAGTGATCGGAAGGGTCTCTTGAACTTGTACAAAAGCCTTGTCTGGTCGCGCCTTGATTATGTCTCTATAATTTATCATTCCGCAACGCCAAGTGCTTTGAAAATCCTAGACCCCGTTCACCATCTGGGTATCTGACTGGCAACCGGTGCCTTCAGTACAAGTCCGATCCAGAGTCTCTATGTAGAGTCAAATCAGTGGTCACTTCACCTGCAGCGATCCTATAGCAGTTTCACTTATTTTATAAAGGTACGCGCAAACATAAAGCATCCTTCTTATTCAGCTATAAACGATATGACCGCTGCCACCCTCTACCATAATCGACCCGCAGCAAGAAAGCCGTTCTCTTTGCGTGTGAGAAGCTTAAGTGAGAAAATGGGTGTTCCGCTGCTAGAACTTTGTCCTATGCCCACACAAAACATTTACCGCCGTGGCAGTGGCAGCTCATACATTGTGACACTTCATTTGCCGAGATCACTAAACACGCACCAGAAGCACATATTAAAATGCACTTCCGACAACTCCAGTTCAACTACCTATGCGTAGAGTTTTATACTGACGCTTCTAAGTCGCATGCAGGGGTGGCTTATGCAGCTGTCGGACCATCCTTCTCGGAATCCGGTGTGCTGTACCCGGAAACAAGTATATTTACGGCTGAGGGTTATGCACTATTGTCCGCTGTGAAGCATATACAAAAATCAAACATACGAAAATCAATTATATTATAGTCACAGACTCGTTAAGCATCGTAAATGCATTAAGATCCCTTTTCAGATTCAGAAATTCGGTAATAATTGAGCTGTATTCCGTTCTGTGTACAGCGTATATGTCCAACCAGCATGTTACTATTTGCTGGGTACCTGGCCATAGAAATATCGAGGGCAATATGTTAGCTGACCAAATGGCCACGTCAATTATATTGCGCGCTATTAACCCCACCGCTACTGTCCCTGCAACAGATCTAAAACCCTTCCTATGTAAGAAACTGCGAAACCACTGGCAACGCTTGTGGGACACAGAAATAAATAATAAGCTTCATTTGATTAAGCTGCGGTTCGATTATTGGCCCTCCGCTACAAGAACACGGCGAACTGATGTCCTATTCTGTTGCCTCAGAATAGGACACACTTATGGTACCCATAGCTTTCTTCTGACTGGCGATGAACCTCCTACTTGTGGTAGATGTGGCGACAGGCTAACCATCCTCCACATCCTCCTGGAGTGTACGGAAGCTGAAAGGGAGAGAAAGAAATATTTTGCTTTAGCATACAGCTATAATTTTTCTTTACATCTGATTATGTTTCTCGGTGAAGAGCCGCTTTTTGATGCAAAATCAGTTTTAAGCTTTCTAAAAAATGTAGTATTGAATGTTTTTAGCCCAACATTGAATGTTTTTAGCCCACCAGGTTCATAGCGCATCCTCTGTTCAGAGGATGCCGCTGTGATAGCAGCTTTCAATGAGCCCAGGCCTCCATGCTCTTGTTTTAAGGGCTCTGTCGAGGCACTGGTGCTCCTTGCCAAGTTTTTATTTCACATACTTATCAATTTTAAGCCATTTTATGTCTCCATAGCTCACATCATTTGTCATTGCCATAATTTTACTATATGTATATTTTTACGCACCTACAGCGACTGTTTTTTAGGCCCATTTACAGCCACGTCACATCTGTTTTATCTACACTGCACATCCCACAGTTCAATATCATCGCTCTGGCGCTCTTTGGCCATATCTGGCCCTTGCGCCAATAAACTTCACTAATCATCATCATCATCAACATCACAGCAGAAGGAGGAATTGGCGAAACTGACCGTCCCGCGACCGCACCTCCATCGGCCGCACCAGCTAATTTCTCAGCTGATACGGGGAAGGCGACCGACGACGCGGAGACAGTGACCGGCGGGAACATGTCAGAGGTGGCGTCGGGCTTCGCTCAGAGGCGGAGGACTCGCTGCGAAATTCCTTAGGCCATTGCTGTCGGGGACGGTGGTCGGCCGGGTGAGCAGTCCAGGTTTCGTGCATACGAGGCGGGTACGTCGAAAAACGTGGCAGCGCAGGCGGCCGGCTGGGACAGAAGCGTGAATTATGCCCTGGGAGACCACAAGTGTAGCAAACAGGGACTTTTCGGCTTACATTAGCAGGAGCAGAGGTGGCAGAAATACGCGGAGACAGGTCGTGCCCTGCAGGAACATTTCGTGATGATGCATAGTAGTCTTCTGGTAGAGGCCTGGTTGACGATGGCCGAAGGACTGCAGCGGCACGTCGAGATGATGTAATTGGGTGGTGGCCGTGACCCGTCGGGAAAAACAGAAGCCGGGGGGTGAAATCTGCAGTTTCTGTGCGTGGTCAGTTTTGGACGTGGCGCGCTTGCATCCAGTAGGGAGGTGGTTCTGGGCACGCAGCGAACGATCATTGGTGGTGAGCATCACCTGCTTAAAGCCGTACAAGCTCTTATCAAACTACCCGACGTACGAGGAAGGGAATGTCTTCGCAGGCGGTGACGTCCATACTTGCAATAGTGGGAACATTGTCCAAGCGCCCGAACTTGGGTAAAATTCTCCGGGTCTTCAACGCCTCGAATGCGCAACACTGCTGCCTGGAAATAGAAAGAGTATTCAAGTTTTCTTGCGTTATGAGAAAATTGTACATGTCCTCGACGATGGCTTTTAACAAATGACTGACTTTGTCTTCGTCAGACATACTTGCGTTGACAATCCGGCAAAGCTTCAATACCTCTTCATTGTAGGTTGTGCACGTTTCGCCGGGCAACTGAGCCCTACGTGACAGCGTTTTCTCACCTTTCTTTTTCATTAAACTCATGTCCCCAAAGCAGGCCTTCAGTTCCCCAACAAATATATCCCAAGTGGTGAAGACATGTTCATGGTTTTCAAACCAAAGCAAAGCGGTCCCGGCAAGGAAGAATACTACGTTCACGAGCTTCGCCGGCGCGCCCCATTTGTAGTAGCGGCTCACTCTGTCGTAGTGTTTTAGTCAAACATCCACGTCTTCGTCAGTTTTACCTGAGAATATCCGTGGTTCAGGCGCCTAGTAGTCTGGTGTTCAAGGTTGACGGCCACCTTGTGCCAAATCGGTGGCACTGGTGGATTCAGCAGCGTAGTACGTCAACGGGATTGCTGCGTCGTCGTTCATGCTGACGTCCGGTCGTAGGCCAGATAAGCGTCTGCTTCTTTGAGGAACTTCTGCTGCGGGATCCAGGACGGGGAATCACCCAGCACCGCTCCACCAAAGCTGTTACGAATGTGATGGGTTATTTACACTGAAAATGCAGCACTCGAACGTCACTGCCGAATCACCATCGCTCGAGAGCGTCCTACCTCTTCTTCTTTCTCGCTCTTTCAGTCCGTGTTACAATACAAGGTTTATGCTTGGCCATAACTTTGTCAGATGCAAAAGCATCAGGAATGTAGTGTCACATCACAGTGCCAAGCAAACAAGGAAGGTTTGGATGAGTAACTTCAGCAGATGTACATATTGACGAAACACACATTGACGAAATATAAGCTAAACTGAATAATGAAACTATGATGAGAGGCTTATAAGTAACGTAATATGCAATATAGTGAAACATAAATTTGACACTAGATGCATCAGTATAGTATACAGGAATATTCTATTAAGTTTCAATATATTGAGAGGGGAAGTATGCAGAATGCCCATATTGCAAGCCAAGCATAATTCACATCAACACACCCTATATTCACTCTTATCCACGTTCACTTTGCTGAATTAAATTTACTAATATTTATAGAATTCATTTGTCCAATCATATCATGCCTGCACTTGTGGAAAATGAATATACAAAGCAGCACTGTTGGGGGACATTGCACTATTTGGAAAACTAGTGTGGTCTGCTCACGCCTCAATATCAGTCATGGAAGACTGCATTTCCGATTTTATATAGTCACTTGCTCCAAGGAATTTGAAAATGCATAATAGATTTTTGACTTTTTGTCAGGTATTTACAATTATTAAAATATCCCAGTGTTTGATGTTTTCAGTACTCCAAGCAAACTTAAGTTTCAGTGGAATGACACATAACCAGTGAGTATGCACTACAAGGACTACAAGGGGACTCCTGAATTTGTGCTTTTGACTCTGAGAACAAGCAGGTGTGGTTGGTATTCTGACATTAAAAGGAAAAAAAGAAACAGAAGAAACCTGTTCAGACAAGATGGTGTTAATTAAAGACTATAGTGAGAGATCTGTGTCCTGCAGCGAGATTAAAAATACATGATGATGATGACTATAATAGGTACTGAACTTTGTCTGTACAGATTAACGGCTTGAGCAGAGGAAAGGCTGTTGTGTTGACTTATCGCTCTATCCAGTGAATGGATATTAAAACCCCACAAGATGCTCTGAAAAAGGTAACATTTATATGTACACAAACTCTTGTTACTCAACTAACAGCAGCTGGCGGGCCACTCTCCTGAAGCAAATGGAGTGACAAATGCACCTCGTCCTCAGCTATGCTGAGTAGCACTTACTTGGCTTAGATTGTATCTCGGGCACTTCGATTTCAAGTAAATGTCACTGTGATAATATATTGTTTCCTTTTACCCCGCACTCTAGTATAGAAACACTGCATGCTCATAAACAAGAATCTGCCACTTTTTTCAACGCAGGGCCATGTTCGGGGGCAGCACATTCCTGCTATTTCTATTGTGCTACTGCTGCCAACGAAAAATGAGAGAAAATGCATTTGCACCTTTGGACAATGCTACGATGGCTCATCACCCACAGGTAAAAGGTAATCGAGCTGTTTAATATTATTGTCACTAATGCCAGTCTTCAACTGTCCTACAGGTGTCGACAAACTTGGCACCACAGACAACACAAATAATGCCAAGTGGGCCACCTCCAAACTATGATGCTGTTGTCAAGAAAGACCCAGCAGATCTCGAGCCACCTCCATATGAAGTTGCTGTGGCAAGCCTTCAAGCTAGTGGCTACGTCTAAGGGCTGCATTGCCAGCTTATTTATTTCATCCTTCAGTGACCCTGCAATGTTCATTCAAGAACTGCAAAGCTGAAATGTGCACCCTACAAGACCTATACGGCATGGGCTTACACTCTTTCAAGCCATGAAACAATGAAGCTTATTTATTTACCCCCACCATCATCAGTCAATGACTGTTTCTACTGACAGTATTTTTCATAATCACACAATAAAAGTTTTAAAGACAGTGTACCTTGAACTTCTGGATAAAAGGCAGGAAATAATGCAAAAGTTGCAGACAACATAGATTTATTACAAAACAATTAAATTTACAAAACGTGACCCCTTTGGCCTCTATTGAGTTCTTTTTTAGGCTTCCCCTGAAGCAGCATCCGAAAAATCGCCATCTTCTGATGACCAATCACCTGCAAATGAAATACCGTTTTATAAGCAATTCCACAGTCTGCAATAATGGCCAAATATGAAGTATTGCAGTTTCCCGATCCTGAGTTGCTGCCTACTTCACAATACACCTTCAGTGTTTCAAGCTTTCTTAAATCACATTATAACTACTCAACAAGTTACTCAAAGATCCAAACATACATCCACCTAGCAGATTTCTTTATCTCTTGGAGTTGTTGCTTATTCCACATGTTCATATTTGCAAAATTCTAAAGTAATGTACATCATGTTTATACAACCTACAATAATACAAAAGTCTAGTATCTGCACAGTGCCACACACAATGCCAGGCAACCTGTATATCATGTACTACATATCCGGTAAAGCTGCTACATAAATGCTAATGGAAGGCTACTAAATTGTTTAGCAACATGCTATGAACCCCTGCATTGAATGAAAACACTGGAGGAAGCTGTGCTCCATCAAGTGTGTGTTGTGCGTGTGTGTGTGAACAATACTATTTGCAATTTTAAGTTTCCCCAATCCTTCACAGGGTATAAAACTACTTTGTGAAATGATAGAACAAATTCACAAGCTTTATTGAAATTCTGAAGGGTTCCCACGGCATCACGCGCCTGCCGAACACAGCGGCTACTTCCTCTTGCGATGATGCCGTCCGCCAAGTTCCACGATGTGACAACCTCGCCCGCATCATTCGTCGCGAGGTCGAGGCAGCTCAACCAGGCAGCTCCAACGCCTGAACCTTCACCGACCACGATCTCACTGATACAAGCCGTCGTTCGTCAAGAATTATCGAACGTCGGCCTACACCCCGTTCAACCAGCCTACTCTGCCGAGCCTTTTTATCGTCGTCCCTCCGCTCGCTCCTCGCTTCGGTTCCAACTACTCTCGACAGCGCTATTTGTCCGAATGGTGTACACTGGACGACAGGCCTATATGCTTGAACTGTCGACGCGTCGGTCATATTTCTCGCCACCGTCGCAATCACTGGGCTCCGCCGGCACACTATGGGCCTCCTGCCCAGGCCACTTCTGTCCACCAGTCGCCCACAGCATTTGATTTTGATTCCCCTATGCCGACCACATCCTCTGATTCTGCCGCACCTCTGGCGAGACCTCGCTACGCCCACTCGCCATCTTCTGCTCACCGTCAATCTCGTTCGCCCCCACAACGCCGTCCTGCCCCTCCGACCTATTCACAGCGCCCCGACCGGAAAACTAGGCAGTGCAGCTTCTAGAGGTGGAGCTGCATTGACAACGACCTCTGCAAGAAATCCTCGTGTAACATTACCGACCACCTGGAATCTGTTGAACATTCCTTTAGACAATGTACCTGTGCACGCGTTGATCGATACCGGCGCGCATGTGTCCATAATGAGTGCTGCTCTTCGTCGCCGCATAAAGAAATTTATCACACCAGCCTTGAACCGAGCCGTTCGAGTTGCCGACGGGGGAACTGCCGCAATTATTGGCTTGTGCTCTGCCCGGGTGACTATTGTCGATAGAAGCACTGCTGTTCTTTTCACCGTTGTAGAAAATTGCCCTCATGATTCAATTCTATAGGAATAGATTTTCTAACCGCTCACTCGGCTCTTATAGATTGTTCAGCCGGCTGTCTTGACCTTGAGATGCCTCTACTTTCCAATCTGACCAACCCACCCCAAAGCCGTAGTTGCTGCATTGATTTCGTGCGCCTTCCGCCTAACTGTGTTACACACATCGACCTCTTCTCTACGCCACCTGTACCTGACAGCGATTACTTGATGACACCAATTCATGCAGTGATGCTTACGCATGGCATCACTGTTCCGCACACCATTTTGACAATTATTGAAAACGGCACATGCCTTCCTATTGTTAATTTTGCCCTCACTGTCCCAATTCTTTCCCAGGGTATCTCCCTGTCCGAAATTACTGTCCTACAAGACCATAGTGACCCTTCAGAGTGGATGATTGCTGCATCTCAGACCATGACCCAACCCTGTCACGTTCATCCGGCGTCGACGTTGACCACATGGTACCATCAGACCCCACTCCTTATCAAGCGGAAGCCCTCCGTCACCTCCTGGAGTCCTATAGTGACATTTTCGACTTCGCCAGCACGGCCTTAAGCCGAACGAGTGTTGTCACTCATCGCATTAATACTTGTGACGCGAGTCCCATTCCCCACCGTCCATACCGTGTTTCCGCGTCCGAGCGTACAGTCACAACAGGAAGTCGAAAAGATGCTTGCAAAAAACATAATCGAGCCCTCGTGTAGCCCCTGGGCGTCTCCTGTCGTCCTGATCAGAAAGAAGGACGGAACATGGCGCTTTTGTGTAGATTATCGCCATCTCAACAAAATTACGAAGAAAGATGTTTACCCGTTGCCTAGAATCGACAATGCCTTAGACTGCATTTACGGTGCTACGTATTTTTCCACTATCGACCTTCGATCTGGCTATTGGCAGATCACTGTAGACGAGATGGACCGTGAGAAGACCGCATTCGTCACTCCTGACGGTCTTTATCACTTCAAAGTTATGCCCTTCGGTCTCTGTAATGCGCCGGCCACATTCGAAAGAATGATGGACTCATTGCTCCAAGGGTTTAAATGGTTAACCTGCTTATGTTATTTAGACGACGTTATCATTTTCTCGCCCACATTCGACTCCCATCTCGATCGTTTATCGGAGATAGTTTTTCGTCGAGCCGGACTTGAATTGAACTCTTCGAAATGCCACTTCGCTCGTCGTCAAATAACCGTACTTGGCCACCTCGTCGAAGCCGCAGGAGTATACCTGGATCCCTAGAAAATTCGCGCAGTCACGGACTTTCCTGTTCCGAAGTCAACACAGGACGTTCGCAGTTTTGTGGGCTTGTGCTCCTACTTTCGACATTTTGTTAAGGACTTCGCGATCATTGCACGCCCACTTACAAACCTCCTGAAGAATGACGCCCCGATCAAGCCTCATCTTTTTTCCAGCTCACGACCCTTCTTACAACAACACCAATTTTAGCTCATTTCGATCCATCCGCTTCAACCGAGGTTCGCACTGACGCTGTGGGCACGCCATAGGAGCAATGCTATTGCAACACCAACGCGGACATGACCGTGTTATAGCATATGCAAGCCGCCTGCTATCTACAGCCAAGCGCAACTATTCAATCACAGAGCGTGAGTGTCTCGCTCTTGTGTGGGCAGTCACCAAGTTTCGCCCATACTTATACGGGCGTCCATTCCGGGTAGTCACCGACCACCATGCGCTCTGCTGGCTGGCCTCTCACTCAAGGATCCCACAGGACGCCTTCCTCGTTGGTCCCTACATTTCACTAGAATACACGTTCACCGTAACGTACAAAACAGGGCGGTTGCATCAGGATGCGAGTTGTTTATCACGCTACCCTGTGGAAGAAGCTGACCATACTGACACCTTTCCAGACCTTCTGTCTATGACGCAGCTACTCAACCTTGGCCACGAACAACGCCGGGATGCTTCCCTTCAAACCATCATTGACAAGCTTGAGTCAATGCCTCACGACGCATCTCTACAAATGTTCCTGGTCAAAGACGGGATCCTGTATCGCCGTAACCTCGATCCATATGGCCATGACTTACTCCCCGTTATACCAGCACATCTTCGTGCGACTGTCCTCAACCAACTTCATAACGCTTTTTTGACAGGCCACTTGTGTGTCTCTCGCACATACGACCGTGTGCGTCGTCGTTTCTTTTGGCCTGGCCTTGCCCGTTTTGTTCGATGCTACGTCGCCGCTTGTGAGCACTGCCTGCGCCGCAAAAAGCCATTCTCCCTACCATCTGGATTCCTTCAGGCAATCGACATTCTCACTGAACTTTTTTTTTCGAGTTGGCCTCGACCTGCTTGGCCCATTGCCGATCTCCAGCTTTGGCAACAAATGAATTGCTGTCGCCACTGGCTATGCAACACGGTACGCTATCACATGAGCACTTCCAACGAGTTGCGCAACCGATGTGGCGGACTTTATGGTATATGATATTATTTTAGTACATGGAGCTCCACGCCAACTTCTCACTGACCGGGTCTGGACCTTCTTATCAGCTGTCGTTGATGAAATCCTGCGCTCTTGCTCTGCCAAGCACAAGTTTGCCACTTCGTACCATCCGCAAACGAACGGTCTTACGGAGCGCCTCAACCGCACCATAACCGACATGCTTTTTAAATACGTAGCAGCCGACCACCAGGACTGGGACTTTCATTTGCCATTTGTGACGTTCGCATATAATTCCTCACGTCACGACACTGCCGGCGATTCGCCATTCTATCTTCTATACGGCCGAGAATCCGCCCTGCCCTTTGAAACCTTGCTGCCCTCGGTCACCGAGTATGCCGTCGAAGCCATTGCGCGAGCCGACCACGCACGCCAACTCGCAAGCCTCACAGGAGCACCAAAGACAGCTCTACAATCCCCATCATCGAAACGTGCACTTTTCACTGGGTTCCCTAGTCCTTCTCTGGTCCCCCACTCGGCGTGTAGGTCTTTCTGAAAAACTGCTGTCACGCTACACTGGACCATACCGCGTCATTCGCCAGGTGATTAGCGTTACATACGAGATCGTTCCAGCCGATCCAACGTCACCATCGTCAGCTTCGAGCAACATCGTGCGCATAGCTCGACTCAAGCCTTATCACCCTCCTTCTACCGCATCCGAGTAGCTCAAGCACCGAGACGGTGCTTCTACCGTCGGGGGGTTATGATACACAACAGCCGGCACAGCCTTGCTGCACGAAAGAGAAAGACGACGTCGCTTGCTGTTTGTTGAACTGTCGCCATCTTGTTCGCCGAGCCCAGTCCATCGTATATAATTTA